TGTCACATGTTTTTTTTTTTTTTTTTTTAAGCTATGCGAGCTGCTTGACAGTGACCTCATCTAACTGTGAGGTGATTGTGTACTTGTCTCACTGCTGTCTCTGTCTCTGTGTCACTGTTCAGATCGAGCAGGCAGCATCAGCACCTTAGACTCCTTGGACTTTGCTCGTTACTCGGATGACGGCAACCGAGAGTCGGATGAAAGGGTGGCAGGTAAGATGAGTTGTACTGTCAGGGCTGAAAGCAAGAGCCCCGGCTTACTTTGGGGAAGTAGAAGGACAAAAATGACAGAAGGTGTCAGGGTTAGCACAGAAACCAAGTGAACAACACCTGGCTGTTCTATCAAAGGCTGTAATTCTTTTAATCCAAGCTATTGTAACATTTTTGTGTTTTGTATTCTGTCACTGTTGGACTGCTGTGTAACAGCTGCTTTGGTAGTAATGACAAAAAATATATTTTAAGCGCATTTAATGTCAGAATCCACAGGAACAAGAGTTAGTTTCACTGTGTTTTCACACTGTCATAATGTATTGTTAGTGTAGAGTGTTTTTACTAGGTATGTAGAAAAAAAAGTTAATGAACAAACACTATATTTCTAAAATCTTGGGTCTACATGATCCAGTTCCGACATTGATTATGTTTCTTGCTTAGCATGGTTGAGGTGTGTGTGCCTCCTCAAATCAATTGCCAAACTGTTGAGTCAGTGTGTGTTAGTTTTGATATAGGACCTGTGTCAGCACTGTTTGAAATCCCACTTGCTTCACCCTGTGGCTGTGTTGTAACACACCGTTAGACAGATTTATTCAAATCGGTCCACACAGTTGAGTCTGATGGTGATGGCACCACACAGATTCCCGATTTTTAAGATCAGCTGTGTATATATTCATGTGTATATATGGAAATTGAAAGTTTGGTCAACATTAATAATTAAGGAAGCAGCCACTGTGTTCTTCTGTTTTAATTGTAACAGACCAGGGTGGGTTTAAATAAGTTTGACTTCTTCCCACTCCGTTTTGAGCAATTGATTGATTTATGTTGTTAATGTAAGGGACTATGCCTTGTATGGATTGAATGCTTTTATTGCCTTGTTATATGTCACTATTGTTCAAAATAAATAAATACAATAAAATAAAAATAAAAAAAAACCTGCTCAGTTACAAGCAGCTTGTTCATTTTCAGCTGATGTGTGATGAGGGCTTCTCACACTGTTGAATAATGGGACATATGAATAAGCTTTTGCTTTAATTAATGTGCAGTGGGCAGTGCAGAGACCATTCCTATTACATTAAAATAATCTGCCTCTTTTTTTTTCATCTTGAAATTTTATGATCCCCGGCATGAAAACATTACATTTTAGCTCTGCACACTATGCCATAGTACAGTGTGCAACGTTATTGCCAGCTTTCTGTAGTCATCCAGGTGTTATTCAGTGAGTCTGTAACTGTGGTATGGATTCATGGAATTGTGCACAGACTGTTTAAACCCTGCTGTGTTTTGTGCATTAGGTTTGTTCTTTCTTTTTTCCCTCTCTGTTTTTAGAGAAAGACCCAAGTCAAAGTCTTAAGTAAAGGTTGAAACACCTAAAATGTAAACAGGGAAATAGCTTGCACGTGCATCGGTGCTTTTGTCAGCTGATGAAAAGCAGATACAAATAATGCAAGGGTGTGGTAAATACCATGCAGCAGAGATGTTGGTTTCATGCTTCCACCTGCAAATTAGGCATCTTTTTAAAAATGACCATTATTCACATAGTGCCCCCTTTCCCAAATTGGCACCCCTCCTCTCCTCCCTTTTCACCCACCCCAACTCTCATCTCTACCTGACCTGTTCTTCTTGCCAAGATGCCTGCCCCCAGCTGTCTGACTCTGGGTTTTCTGGCTATCTCCTGACGTTGATCAAACCCCAGTGAACAATACTGGACAAGTCACTCCATCCAGACAAGTTTTTTGCTTTATTTTATTTTATTTTTTTCTCTCCCCGTGATTCAGTTATTGTTTTTCCATTTTGTTGCGCTTGCATCCTGTGCACTCTTGATCTGCTAGAAAGGTTAGGGATGATGGAGTCAGATTAGGGGGAATTTTGCCGACTCCTGGCATTTCCTTTAGTAATTAAAAGTGATAAATTACCCAATTTAGCCCATCATAAAGAAATACATAAGATAACCCCAGCCTGCTTTTCATATGTTTTTATGGTTGGCCTTAAAAAAAAAAAAGAAAAGAAAAGAAATGTAAAACCTACCATACCATCTGTCGAACTGCAATCCGAGACATTAAATGACAGATTTGGGGACAACAGCGAGATCAGATCAGGTGGCAGCTTTTCAGTGCACAGTCATGCAACTTCGTTTTTCCTTCTCCATTGCTTCTTACTTTTTGCGTGTGTTTTTTACCGAACGTGTCCTAGATCTTGTGTGTTCTTTTTCTCTTTATCCAGTGTTAGTTTAGCCTTTCAGTTTTCAATGTACAAATGAACATTTTTATCCAAAATATCAGCTGGTTCTGATTGCATTAGATTTCAGAAACAGCTTGCTTGTATTAATGAATAATGTTCTTTTAAAATGAAAACAAGTTTGATAAAGTAACATGTACTAAATAACATTTTGATCCTTGAGTTTTATATCATAGTTTGAATTGCTCATAGTTTGATGGCCTGGACTGTTATAAAGCACAATCCTGAGCTGTGTCCTTTGAGTGGCTTGAAACCAAATAATTTTATTGCTTGATAGTAAGGCACTTGCCTGGAAAAAAATCCTTTGTCAGACAGCTCCTAGATTATCAAGGCTACATTTCAGTAGCTGGAACAGATTTGCTCACCTCAGCTACAACTGAACTACTCCCATTTTTAAGTCAGACACGTCAGTGCTGTAATTGGAAGAAAACCAAGGGCAAGAAATCTCAAAGCATTGCACACACTTGTGAAACAGGCTGTCATCAAGCCAGTTTTACCATGATCCTCTGCTGCATGCGTTCTTTAGACCCATGATTTGCATGCATTTCTCTTTTTGTTTTTTTTGTCTTATGACTTACGATCTTTTGTGTGGTTGTTTTGTTTATCATGCCCATCTTTGTTTTGTTTGTTTGTTTGGTTGAATGCACTTCCTGTGTGTGTTTGTGTGTGTGTGTGTGTGTGTGTGTGTGTGTGTGTGTGTGTGTGTTGTCACTTCCTGTCCAGTGCTGGAGTTTGAGCTACGGAAAGCAAAGGAGACCATTCAGGCTCTGCGCGCCAACTTGACTCAGGCAGAAGGTGTGGCGTACTTTTAAACTTCTTCTACACCTGAACCCTCTTTTGCTTCAGCTTTTCACTCTTTTTGTTCCTAAGAGAAATTCCTGTTGTTGAATAACACTTATAGTAGCATCCTTTCAAGCTCATCCAGTATTTTTTTTTTTTTCCAATTTTCCCAGAGAGTGAAGTACCCTCTCAGGAGAGAAAAAACTTCAAGTCAAGTCCTGAAATTCAGGTGGGGAATCTTCAAATATAGAAAGAGCAAAATCAGTGAATTTTATTCCTCTTTTCAAATGACTCAGGATAAGTTGTGTTCCTTTAAACTGTTTTTCAGTTTCTTTCTTCTCTACCTCAGGAGCCTATACGCCCACTGGAGAAAAGAGCCCTAAACTTCCTTGTGAATGAATATTTATTAAAAAATGAATACAAACTTTCATCCATCACCTTCTCTGATGAAAATGATGATCAGGTAAAGTTTTCTCTGGCTGCTGCATGTTTTGAAGACAGAATGACAAATGTCTACATGGAGCTAGCCTTTTATATCATTTATTTCTGACTGTCTTTTTATTCCTAAAGCATAATAAGAGCTATCAGACTTGCATGAAGGCACTTGTCTAGTTCTGTGGTAGAGGCATGGGTTTAGCATAAATGCATTCAACAACTAGGATCAGCTGTCCTGTTCTGAAATTGCAGCATGTCGTGCACCCTCACTTCTGACATATCTTAATTCTGTGTACTTATTTAGTTTCTTATTTGTTTCCAGGACTTTGAGTTGTGGGATGATGTTGGCCTCAACATACCCAAACCCCCAGGCCTTTTACATCTCTACAGGAACTGTGGCACCCCTCTCCCTCCACCTCGAGACACAGTTGATGCGTCAGTGGGAGTAGACTTGGGCGATCTTCCAGGAAACTGCATTGCCCAAGATCTACCAAAGAAACCTGGCCTCTCCCAGAAGGTGTGTAATGTACCTGTATTATATGTATGTGATTCATTAATGTACTGTTCTTCATGAGGTGAAACATTCATCCACCTTGCACTTCTGGAGCTACCTCAGGGGTTCAGTGACATGTTTTGCTTTAGCTGCATCACAGGCTTTGTGATAATGCAGTAGTTGTTCCAAAGCAGGAATAGCCAATCCATTAACACAAAGACAAAGCGCTTTTTGTTTGATATGAATAAAACTTGGATTCTAGACAAAATTGGCTGAACAACCTTTACAGTAAGACTCCCAAAGAGATGGCAGTTTGCCTTGAAGGTCAGTTGCTTTGACTCATCACAGTAGAGTAATGGAGGTGCTCTACAGATCTACAGTGATGCTGATGAAAAACAAAATGTAAAATGTCTGTTTATTGCAGTAATGCCTGATATAACTCTGACCCATGAACAGTTTTGTTGTATCAGATTACCTGCTCTTAAACTGAGGTTATAAAATGTCTATATATTTTTCCCTCTGTAGCAGCAGACAGAAGTTGTGCAGGAGTTGGAGTACCAGATTAGCCTCCTCAACAATGAGAAGCAGCGCCTAGCTGAGCAGATCAGGAAGCTGCAGAGGTGTGTGAGTGCATATGTGTGTTCTTGTACTAGTAAATCAGTCTCTATGTGAGACTGACCGAGGAACTGCCTTCAGTTGTGCTACATGTTTTACAAATCCTATGACCACTGCTAGTATGCTATGATGCTAACAGGGTTTGTTTATGCAGTAGTTGTGCTGTGCCAACACAACAAGAACATTTACCACTGCCACTAGGGAAATATGAAAAGCATGTATGCAGCAAATGACTTCAGCACTTCAGTCCACGTTATTACCATAACTGTGACCAAAACTAGCTATGAGATGGAACTGGACTGGAAATTTCCCCTAAACCCCACTGCTCTGTGAAGTTATTTTCCCTTTATGCGGAATCTTTAATTGCCACCATTATGATTCAGACAAATTCACTTTACCACAACTGGAAATTGTTGAGGTGGTTTGCAGAGCTATTCTACTACCACTTTTTGATGATAGGAGTTTGTTTTGCTGACTTGCTTCATTACTAATAAGAAGTACTTAATGTTTTTAATGGATACTGTCATTTGTTTTTTTTTTTTGTTTTTTTTATAACTTGAAGTGAGATTCAGACACTGAAGAGGAGGGTTTCTATACTGCCCC